AAATTTCAGCGCTCCTGCCCAAGGATCTACTGTACGCAGCTCTGCTGCAGCCGTCGGCTCCACGTTCTAAATTGCACCTACAGTGTGTTCAAGGGGTCGCGGATTCGGGACTTCATGTGCTCGCCGGTCATTTTGCGCCACACACGGGTTCTTCAGGCGCACCGTGTCATATACCTTTTGATTGGTATCTCGTGCACTGGGCACGTCCTTATCACGTAAGTTCTTGTCATCGCCCATGGCTGACGCTTCGCCGCTTACAGCAAGTAGTCTGCAATTTGATTTTCGTAAAACGGGAACTCGTACCTGGAAACGTCAATGAATACAGTCTTCAACCTGCTATGTTCATGGCATAGCATCGACAATATGGGTCTTCCTATATACATTGTGAAAGAACGCTCTTGTAGCCTATCGTCAATTCCGCCGTATGCAGTCTCATGTCGGTTTGGGTACTAGGAGAAACAGGACACAAGGAATCTATCATGGCGCTCCAGGGCATGCAGGCGGAAATCCTTGGAAGTGTCCTTATGGGCCAATAGTACAGTATGATGCCAATAATCAATGAATGGTGTTGTTGATGGGCCGTACATCTCGTATCCGTTCAGTTTCGCAGGGGCTTCTGCGAGGTCACAGACTCAATCCCGCGAATATAGCTGCCGCACCAACGACTGCACCCCCAGCAACTTGTGCGAGACAATGGCTGCCTCCGCGTTGAGCCATAGCGGCATCTTCCATCATTATCCTCTCGCACACATCTTCGACCGCCGCGCTCTCTGTGCCGAGGACTAGCAGGGTTTCTCCGCTCCGCGGATCACCCTCCGGCGTAACCGTCGCCATATAAAAGCCAATCTCCTTCGCGAATGGTCGCAATTGTCCAATATGGTCAGTGGGCACCGCGTATACTGATACGGGTGCACGCGTGGATACACGATCAAGACTGTCCAAGAATTCCTCGCGCGCGCTGATGCTTGTGGAGCGTATGGACCGACGCGACGGAAGGGCGATAGGTGAATGCACGAAGGCTGAAGGCTGGGTAACCGGCTTTGGGATTTCATCGTGGTGGTCGAGGACCTCGGACTCGGCGCGATGCCTGGGTAGCTCGGCTATAATCAAGCCTACAGGGGAACGTGAGGTTACAGCTGCGGGGGATCCTTCCTCTCGCCGCGGTCTCGCTTTCCGGGAGGGGTTTTTGCCAGCTGACAGGGGAGAATGTTCGCCCGCATCCTCAGCCTCCGAGTCGAGCTTTAAGGAGTTGAGGGCATCTGCGAGGTTGACGTCTACTAGTGTGGCGCCCTGTGCGTTACCCAGGGGCGGGTATTCCGGGCACCCCTGCCGCGGATGACCTTTGCGGGGTTTGTTGCACGTCTGGCAGTGAGGCCTTCTCCTTCCTCCAGGACTAGCGAAGGATAGATTCTCCAAGACCTTCTGAGGAGTGATAGGTGCACGGGAGGCAGAACGTGTAATTGGAGGCATGGTGTCAGAGAGTGTTATAGTTGATACGTTGGTGGCAGTCTGTCTCCAAATTCCAAGACTCACTCAAACTTCAAACTTCAACCGCACGTGCGCTACGTCACGCACCCATGATCGCCGAAAGAACACCGAAGGCATACGGACTCGCGTGCGAAGTTCACTGCTTTCCTTCTTCCACAAACCTGTCGAGGACAAGTGTTCTCATCTCTCAGGGTTGTGCAGACATTCTGGCCCCGGAACCGTGAACGACGCCAGATGCTAGACAGCCAACACAGTCACATATTCACCAAGTGTGAAAGCATTTGTTTTGCTTGAGTCGGCGGTAAACGCATATGCTAACGCTATAGAGAATAGAATCCGGCATACAGTCCTGTGTATAGGGTCGTAGCGACCATGTATACCAATCTAGGAGGATTGTCTAGTAGCATGAAAAGAAATTACGCCGAACGGGAGCCCCGGTGATGTCGGGACTCTGAACCAATCGCGACGTAGCAGGATGCAACGCGCCAGATACTGACGGCGAGCTCGTCATGCGTCAGGCGCAACTCTCTTTGTCGTGGGAGAAGATGGACTACTTGACGGAGGCGAGACGGATGCGCACAGCCACGCCGTACTTACGAGTTACTTACTGTAACTCTCGCGCAGGCCCTTACGAGCACGGCGTCGTTGCTTCTCACTCTCGCTCATCGGGCATGTAGGCTCTCGCATAGGAGGAGGTCAATAATCTCCGTCATGGGTTTGAGTGTACGATAATTTGTGGGGATCACTAGCTTTTACTGACTTGCAATATAGGTACCTTGCCAGCTCTCAGCGCCTGCTTCTCGCTTCTTCTGGTGACGCGATGGAATGTCTAGGTCGGCCTCTAACTCAGGCTGCAGGGGTGCCGATGACGTATAACGGCATGATACGTGATTCGTGCGTCCGTCGCCTAGACCAGTCCTGTCCCGCTATTGTGTGACGCAAGTAACTGCAACTCGGATTCCTTGTCTTCCTGAGGTTTTCCCTATTCTGATCATGAGCGGAACGCGAACTTGTCGAGTTGGCAATACCGACGCCAGCGGAAGTGAGGTTATGAGTGCACCAACCGGCTTTCCTCGGCAGCATCAAGCGCTCTCGTTACGCGTTTGGAGTTAAGCAAGGTCTACGCGTCGGAATTTCGGCGAGGGCTCTGGTGGAAACGTGCGATCGGACATGCTATTGTGGGTATGGAACGATCAAGGTACGAATAGTACGGTATCTTCCAATCATCAAGATGGATGAGATGAATGAGACGCATGAGTGCGCGTTTGCAAGATGGTGTAGAGCAATGAGCAAGAGCAAGCAGGACAGAGCGAGAGAACAAAAGAGATAATACAGAGCAGTGAGCGAGAGCGAGTAGACAGAGCGAGAGAGAACGAAAAGACTTGCGCAGATGGCATGTATAACGACGACCCACAATCTATGGCTTCATTGAGCGCCTGGTATGTTTCCCTGCACGACGGCGCTCATTGTACGGCGTTGGGCGCCTCCATGATTCATCGTCGTCGCCATCCTGGGCGTGTCTGAGTGCGGGCGGACCAATGGGGGACGGCATCTACATTCGATTTAGCTGCGGACGGGTACAAGGAACACAACCTAGCTTACGTGATATGGGTGGGGGTGAATATGCCCTTGTTGCGGTGCCCGGTTTCGCAAGGGCATGCTCGTAGGCACAGCTATGTTGGCCAGAGGCGGCGAAGGACGAGGCGCGAATTCGGCATTCAGACGGATGCGAATCTCCTCGCGACCGGCTTGCGCGAAAAAAGCGCGCTCCTGGGTACGGAAATAGTAACTGGTAGGCCCACCCTTGAGCTCAGAGAACTGGCACGGGGGCGGCGGCGGGAACAGTCGCATGAGATCGTGGCCTGTCGGCGGCGGGGGATAGACGCTACGCGCGACGTTCAGGAAGGGTCCTTGCAGTGGATTTACGTCCGGAATATAAACACCATGTCCTTTGGTAAGCCCAGCGGAAGCACCGCCGTACGACGAGGCCGACGAAGTTGACGACGGCGATGAGCTGGAAGGCGGATCGTAATGAGACGGATGGCGAGCAGGAGAGGCAGCGTCTCGCATGTCGACGGGGCGAAGCGCGAACTGGTGTGCTGTGGCCATGGTGTGAACGCGCGTCCTTGCGAGTGCATGGTGACGATGATGGCAGCTCTTTAGCTTTATCGTTTATCAGAGTCTGTTCAAGACCCCATCATAAGCACCGGCGACCGGATTGGCCGTGGCGGATCAGCTGGGCTGACCGCTCTGGCCACGTACAACGTTCAGCACGTTTTCGATCCCGTAACAGCAGGTTTCGCGACTCCTTCCGGACCTCACATCACCTCTCTATGCGATTCACAGGCTCCGCTACAAATTCCGCGTCCACAATGCATCAAGCAAAACGCAACACGGCTAGCTAGTCGCCGATAAGTGACATGCATCGGACTGCGTGCGCAATACACTGTTCCCAACTCTCATAATCCATCGACGACAACCTGAAGCACGCTGGTCGGAGAATGTATGACGGAGTAGCTCTCGGACGCGCTCGGAGAGTCTTAGCTCGCTCTCGACTATATGACTACAGGTTTTTCCTACTCCGACAAATGTCAAAGCCCTCTCGATGACAATGCCCTGTCCGCCTCGTTGTTCTTGTTAGCCTAGTCAAGCGAACGGGCCTCATCTACCTCCACTCGTACCTCCCCATGCTGCTGGTGCACGTTTCCTTCATTCGACTGTCATCTCCGCTGAACTTGCTTTTGTTCAGACTCCTTGCTTACAGACGGCCAAAAGCATCCTCCTAGCGGGATCTCTGCAATAGAGTCAGCGACGAGGGCTTCACCCGACAGCGGCTCAGATGGATAGCGGGGGAGCGGGGCACGGGGAAGGATAGCGTAGGACTGCACCTTGTCCCCTTAGATTTCCATTACACACTACGTACTTGCGATCTCGATCTTCCTTCATCTACACCGTGAGATGATAGACATCACTGGCACACCTAGTAAACGAGCGGAACGGGCACGGATCTTTCGCGTTCGCGGTATGGACGCGGTATAGACACGGGATTGACACTCGTTGGACGTAGATCTGCTATCCGTGAGAGTGGTTCACCATACTAAGCATCGAATGCGAGAAATCGGTAGTCAGGGACCTGAAGAAGCGCATCAAATCGATCATTGACCCCTTCCCGCGCATGACGCGCGTACCCCCAGCTCGCAAGTTCCTCTTTCTCTCTTGCTTCCAAGCACCCCGACCGCGCGACCCCGGTAGGAGGACCAACATATAGATATTTCATGCACCTATCCAACTCCTCTATACGGCATCGCGTCGGATGGCCATGACTATAGTCGCCGCTGTCGCTGGAGCGCTACGAGCCGTCCCTTGATATGGCCAGCCCCGTATGATAGGACTCTGACTTGTCGTTCCAAAGCCCTCTGCCATCATTCTATTCCGGCACGATCCAAACCTCCATATTAGTTTTTGGAGGTAATGCACAACCCCGCGACTGAGCACTAATATTTCAATGCTCTATTTCCATTGGCTCCGCGCCACGCTCACGAGCATATACACGACATTCGACAGGATATGCTACAAGCTAACCATATACAAGGCACTATGTACCATCTCACTGTCGACCGTAAACAACGTACCACCCAAGTGACTCGCGTGACTGTGACACTGCGCCCTCGTCGGCCATCCGGCCTGCTGCCCGCCACCACGTCACTCTCCTCAGGATGGGGCGTTTTACCAGCGGTGACGATTCACGGCCGCGTAAACGTCCAGCTGGAGGTTTCCTCACCAGTATCCAAGCGCCCAAGCTCTCGTCAAGCACGTTCTTAACCCCTCTAGTTGGACTCCCCTTGACTTTCACACCCGTTCCCCATGACGATCCCCGACCACGTAAACGACATGCTGGAGGGTTCCTCAGCAGCACACAAACGCCTAAGCTCTCGTCCAGCACGTTCTTGACCCCTCCAGTTGGACCAGCCTCGACTTTCACATTTGTTCCCGACAGTCTACCAGGCCCACCTGCATTGGCGCATCGTGAGCCCGGCGGAAAATCCGTAATGCTCGATAGCACTGTTGAGAGACCAAGTGCCGAGGAGCTTGCGTATGCACTCAAGAAACCTTTCCATGGTATACGCCCGGAAGACGCAGAAGTCAAGGGTGCGTGCCAGATATACATCGCGAAACTGAGCTGACAACGTATACAGAGGTTCCTGTGACTGTGAACGACGAGGATGCTGGCGACAACGCTTTCAATGAGTCAGTGCCTGAAGGCAACGCGGACTCAACGCTTGGAGTACCTAAACCGGTGGAAACATCTTTCCTTCAGCGTCTGCGAAAACGCTGTACTGTGAGTGATGCAGCGTGTTTGATGATCTGGGGGCTTACAGAATGAAGGAATTTCCAATGTTACCGTGGAACGAGAGATGGGACAACACCTACCTGTGGGAGAACCTACGTCATGATGGTCGCGCAGGGGCCTTGGGTCTGAAGAATTGCCCTGGTTGTCATGAACCGGGATTTCCTGAGTATAGATGCGAAGATTGCCGTGACGCAGATTTTTGTAAAAGCTGTGCTCTGCATTGGCATCGTCACGTACCCTTGCACAAAATTGAGGTCAGTTCATGTCCGTTTCTCAGCGCTATAGCCACTTCTGATTCGATCTAGCGTTACAACGAGTCTAAGGGGTTTTACGAGAGGGTGACTGGGGCTGACTTGGGGATACGTATACAACTGATGCACCGACCCGGCGAAGTGTGCAATTTTCGTTCCCTTCACTCGATTGAGAATTTCACCGTGATACATACCAATGGTATCCACAAGATTACGGTCGACTTTTGCCAGTGCGAACTTGGACGCGACATCCCGTACCATATCCAGTTGATGCGATGGCGTCTCTGGCCTGCGACGTGCGATAACCCCCAAACAGCAACGACTTACGAGGCGCTGGATTTGTTCACGCGACTATCAGTTCTGGGTCGACTGAACGTATACGACTTCTACCGCGCTCTGGAGGCGGCGACCGACGCGGCGAAGCTCAAAGGCATCGCGGTTCGTCCTATATCGACGTCTTCTAAATGAAAGGCTAACATTTCATCCAGTGTGTGAGGCAGCAACTGTCAATTTGCGCTCGACAGTTTCGCCATATCATGATGTTCAAGCGTGCTGGTCGAGGACACGAGCCTGGGGGGATTGATGGAACTCCCTCAGGAGGTTGTGCGATCGTCTGTCCGGCTTGCCCGAACTTCAAGTTCAACGTCAGTGAAAAGGAGCAGACCGAGGGCCCATTACAGTGCGCCCAGCAATGATCATGATGTTGTCGCCATTGACGTTCTTTAGATGGATCAATCGCGTTATCTGGTCGATAGACGCCAACTTCCGACTGTCGAACAAGATGAGGTGCTCGACAAAGGAGACAGATCCGCATCTGACGAATGGCAAAGCATATATGGCACCTTGGGCCGACTACGAAGCTCATACAGCTGCAACCGTGAAGGAGCTGGCTAAGCCGGTAAGATGGGTTTCCATGTCAGTTTTTCGTATGTTGACTGACGTGGATCGTCTGAAGTCTACGTGTCATAAATTTTCTGCGGTCGAGATGGCGAATGCGAGGGGTGGTAAGGGCCAGCGTTCTACTGGTGTGGCTGCATGCTTGTGCGCACGTCATGAGATAGTTGCACCCCTTGGTGTGGCCCCTTTACGCAAAGGGGAGCGGTACGTTAGCCAATCCGCTCGGGTACTTCAGTGTGTATACTGACAAGTACCCCTAGCTATGAGTCGATTGATTGGGTGTTCTGTGGAGCGCTGTCGCATACCCATGCGGCGGAAGTAACTCTCTCATATGACGTTGTTTGCCAATATTGCATCAACCTTGGAGCCCGCCTCTCGCGCATACCTTGCACGCGCATGATCTGGGAGGG